TGGAATCTAAAAAAAAGAAAACAAAGGCAAAGACTTCATGGGACAAGATAAATTTGTGTTTCCAGAGGCCAAAGGTAGTGGGACAGGGAATTGAAGAAACGTAGCCAAAGTGTACAAACTTCCAGTTACAAGATAAATTAGGCACTAGGGATATAATATGCAATGTGATGACTGTAGTTAACACTGCTATATGATAGATGAAAGTTAAGTGAGTAAATCATAAGAGTTTTCATCACAAGGAAAAAAAATTTTGCACTTTCTTTTTACTATATCTATAAGATGATGGATACCAACCAAACTTAATTGTAGTAATTATTTCACAGTATATGTAAGTCGAACAATTATTCTGTATACCTTAAAATTATATGGTAAATCCATTATATAGCAATAAAACTGGAGGAGAGGTACTCAGTAAGAGAGGAAGGAGTGTGAAAGGGAGGATAAGAAAGACAGTGGCACCAGAGGTTGGAGGGTTATGCTTTAAAGGTAAATGAATGGGCCAGGAGCCAAGGGTGCAGGTGATGCAAGTGCCTCCAGAAAGGGCAAAGGAAAAGACCCTCCCCGAAGCCTCCAGAAGGGTCATAGCCATGCCAACACCTAGATTTTAGACTTGTGACCTCCAGAACTTTAAGATAATAAATGTTTTTGTAAGCCACTGACTTTGTGCTGATTGTTACATTACACATAGGAAAATAATAGTGTCCTTTGAAGCGTAAGGGTTTTTTATTTTGATGAAGTTCAATTCATCCATTATTATGTTATGAATTTTGCTTTTGGAAATTTTAGAAATTTCATAGTTTTTGTTTTTTCATTTAGGTCTGTGATCCATTTTGAGTTCATTTTTGTTTGTAGTATGAGGTAAAATCTATGGGATTTTGGCAGGTTTTTAGTTGCTGTTGTTTTTTAATAATGAGAATATCCGGTTGCTCAGCAACATTTGTTAAAAAGATTATCTTTTTCTCATTAAATTACCTGGAGAACTTTGTCGAAAATAAGTTGACTACAAATGTAAGGGTGTATTTCTGGATTCAGTTCTGTTCCAGTGATATATATGCCTATTTGTGCACTAATATCACTTTCTTGATTACTATAACTTCATAGTAAGTTTTGATATCAAATAGTGAAGTCCTTCTCCTTCCTCAAAATTATTTTGGCTATTTTAGGTCCTTTGTATTTGCAAATGAATTTTAGAATAAGCTCTCAATTCTTTAGGAAAGAAAGCCTTCTAAGATTTTATTAGGTATTACCTTGAATTTTTGCTAGATGTGTTGCTAAGGATTTTATCCTTTTTGATGCTCTTGTGATTGGAATTGTTTTTGTGTTTCTTTAAATCTAATTCCCAGATTGTTCAGTGATAATATCTGTATATATAAAAATATTTTATGTCTTGTATCGTGTTACCTTGCTAATCTTGTTTCCTAATTCCAGAATTTTTTGGTTCGTTCTTTGGGATTGTCAGCTTGTCATACAAGATTGTTGTCTGTGAATAAAGGCTGTTTTACTGTTTACTTTTCAATCTGCATGCCTTTAATTTATTGTTTTTGCTGTATTTCACTGTCTAGAACCTCCCAAATAATGTTGACTAGAATTGTCAAGGTGGGATATTTTTGCCTTGTTGATCTTAAGGGAACATACTCAGTCTTTCACCATTGAATACGATGGACTTCCGGCCAAGATGGAGGCATAGGTGGAAACCCTGTGCCTCCTTGCACAACCAAGTTTAAAGACAACAAAGTTTTAGTAACAAAAATGCAGCCAAAACACAGAAAATTGAACTACATGGAAGTCCAACAACAATGAACCCTTCAGCCAGAGCAGTAAGAGGGGCGGAGCCAGCGGCAGAGCAGGGTTGGGCAGGAAAGATCTGCCCACCGACCCAGGCAGCTGTGGGCAGATCCCAGGTGTGGGGTAGCAATGGGCAGACCCAGTGAGGGTGCAAGGCGGCGGGCTGACTGCAGTCACACATTCGTGCGCGGGTAAACCAGCGAAGGAGCAAGCAGTGAGACACACCACGAAGGCCCCAGCAGTGGGAAGCAGCAGAGGGGACCGCTATTGTCCCTCTCTGACCTCACCCCCACATACAGTGTCACAAACCAGCTACTGAGTTGCCCCACTCTGATGAACACCTAGGGGTCCACTTCTCATATGTAACATCATGAACAGATCAAAACATGGTTCAAGAACAACTCAGAGCCCCAGAGCCGATAACTCTAAGTGAACAAGAAATAGCCAACCTATCAGATGCATAGTTCAAAACACTGGTGATCAGGATTCTCAACAAACTGGTTGATTTTAGTCACAAATTAGAGGAACACATGAAGGCTAAACTAACTGAAATGAAGGGAAATGCACAGGAAACCAATAGTGATGGAAAGGAAACTGGGACTCAAATCAAGGTAGAGGACCAGAAGAAAGAAAAAAATGACCAAACAGAAAAATATGAAGAAAAAAGAATTCAAAAATATGAGGAGAGGCTTAGGAACCTCCAACATCCAAATTATAGGGGTACCAGAAAGGGGAAGAGAAAGAGCAAGTGGAAAACTTATTTGAACAAATAATAAAGGAGAACTTCCCCAATCTGGCAAAGGAAATAGACTTCCGGGAAATCCAGGAAGCTCAGAGAGTCCCAGAGAAATTGGACCCAAGAAGGAACACACCAAGGCACATCATCATTATATTAGCCAAGATCAAAATGAAAGAATCCTAGAAGCAGCAAGAGATAAGAGGACAGTCACCTACAAAGGAGTTCCCATCAGACTGTCAGCAGATTTCTCAAAAGAGACCTTACAGGCAAGAAGGGGCTGGAAAGAAGTATTTCAAGTCATGAAATCCAAAGACCTACAACCAAGATTGCTCTATCCAGCAAAGCTTTCATTTAGAATGGAAGGGCAGATAAAGTGCTTCTCAGATAAGGTCAAATTCAAGGAGTTCATCATCACCAAGCCCTTATTATATGAAATGTTAAAGGGACTTATCTAGGAAAAAGAAGTTAAAAAAAACATGAACAGTGAAAGGACAGCAAACTCAGTTATTAACAACCACACCTAAAACAAAAGCAAACCAAGAGGACAGCTAGATCAGGAGTGGAACCATAGAAATGAAGATCTCATGGAGGGTTAGCAACAGTGGAGTGTGAGGAGGAGAGCGGGGAAGAAGGTACAGAAAATAAATAGCATAGATGGTAGGCAGAAAATAGGGGGGAGGGCAAGAATAGTAGGGGGAATATAGAATCTAAAGAACTTGAGACACATGGACATAAACTAAAGGGGGAATATTGGGGGAGAGGGTGTGCAGGGTGGAGGGGGATGAAGGGGGGAAATAGAACAATTGTAATGGCATAATCAATAAAATATATTTTTAAAGAATTATTCTTAAATCGAATACTCTGGACTTGGGGGAAATTAAAGTTTTATACATGGAATTTGGGTTTAAATGAACATGGAATTTGGGTTTAAATAAATGGTGGTATTTAACCTTGGAATAAGTTTATAAAAATGATGTTAGCTGTTGGATTTTATGGATGCTCTTCATCAGGTTGAGGAAGTTGCTTTACATTTCTTCTTTGCTGAGAGGTTTTCTCATGAGTGGGTGTAAGCTTTTGTGAAGTACTTTTTCTATATCTTTTAAGGTTAACTTGGAGTTAATAACAATAATTTGCATTTGAATGTCAAATCAGCTTTAATTTATGTTCGTAGGTATAATCCCAGTCACCACTTGCTCACAATGTACTGTCTATTTCATATGCTTCTCAATTCTGTTTGCTAATATTGTTTGAGGATTTTTGTGTATCATGAGGGATATTTTTCTGTAGCGTTTTTGTATGCGTGTATATGTGTGTGTGATAAGGTAGGCTAGGAAATGGAAAACTATTAAAGGGCATGAAAAAACTTTCTGGGGAGATGTTAATATGTGGTGTGGGTATATGGGTATATACATTTCTCAAAAGACTTTAAAAAGTTTTTGTCATAGTGACAACAAAATATTATTGTAAATATTCTTTAAGTATTGTGTTTAAAAAGTCCTGTCTTGATTTAAGATAAGCTCTCATTTCTCTTATTCTCATTAGATGTTCTAGAGCTGCTCACACTCTTTTTTCCTTCCTGGCATCTTACATTACTCCCGTATAGGTAGGATCTTAAACGTCATGATTACACTGAAGTTTAAGTAACAAGCGCTCAAGTAATTCACTTTTGAAAACCTTGCTGCTAAGTAAAAAAGTTACTAAATGAAAGATATTTTCCTAATTTTAATGAAAAAAGTGATGTGTGTTATCTTAATCTAAGATACACAAGTTTTACAGATAGAAAAATAAATGTAAAAACTTTATAAGAAATGAATGTAAAAGTAAATAATTTAGTTTGATCATAAAGTGTAATGCAATAATCTGTTGTCCCCAGCAAAGGAGCAGGCAAGGTCTTGAGCCTGTAGGTTGGTCAAGAATGTGAGAGGCATTCGTTCTGAGATGCGTTCTTCCTTTTACGCCTTTATCTTCACTGATGTCTCACTCTTTGGTGGGGGTGGTGGTGGTGGTGCGTGCATGTTCATCTTACACTCAGACTGAACTTAAGAGTAAATTACAGCTCAGAAAACCACCTTGGGACCAAACAAGGGCCTCAGACATCTCAGTTTGAAACACATGAAGGTTCAACATCTCTGAGAAAATGCTGCCCACAGTGGCCTCACTTGGTGTGTGCATACAAAAACATTTGGCTTCTTTCCAGACTGTTGAATGGAGAACATTGATGGGTGTATCTTAGTGTGAGATTCTAATGTACTCCCCTCCTTCCAAAAAAAGCTTTTCTGTAGCAAGTTATTTTAAGGTGTTTTGAAGGAAAAATTAATTATACTAAAACATAACTCACCTGGGAAATGGTGTAACTTCAAGAGTGTTCAAAGTGAAAGTTCCTGAACTGTCCATGTGTGAGGTAGGTCTGTGTTTGTGGTGTTTCATTAGGGAGTGCTGCTTTGTTCTTCTGCATAATAACTCTCCCATCACACAGATACCTCCTCTGGTTCGGAAGACGAAGGCTCCGTGCAGGGGGACTCCCAGGGGACGCCTACCTCCAGCCAGGGCAGCATCAACATGGAGCACTGGATCAGCCAGGCCATCCATGGCTCCACCACCTCCACAACCTCTTCCTCATCCACCCAAAGTGGGGGCAGTGGCGCCGCCCACAGGCTGGCTGATGTCATGGCCCAGACGCACATAGGTGAGTGCCTGTCACTGAGTGATTCTCATTGTTGTACCTACGTGACCCAGAGTAGCCAAGTCCCTATGTAGAAGTTTGTCTATCTGGACATCACATCCTTAGAATCCACCCGAGATTCCACAAAGAGTCCCACTCTAGCTCCTAATCTGCTTTGTGCTTTGAGCTTTGATTTTCCTGTTCTGTGAAACCATTGGTTTTATTATTTCTCACCATCCCAGGTGTCTCCTACAGCTAGAATTCAGGAGCTTGCTGCTCACAAAGGAATGCACTTGTTCCTTATGGAAACTTACAGACACTTATGGACATATCTGTTTTCATGTTTTTTCTCATTTATGCTAAAATATGCTCCTAAATAAAATTTTAATACTGCTAAAAAGCAGGCAGGGAATTATAAAGTGTATTTGGAAATCATGTAAGGAATCAGAGGGCTTTAATCACTATTGTTTTCTGCCATAGGTATGTAGATTTCTCTGGTGGTTCATGTCATTTCATATGTAGGTTCTATGATGAGTGAGATCCTCAATATTGGAAAAAGCACAAAATTAGGAAGCATTGCCTGGGATGTTTGGAAAGAGTGTGAAAAAGGAGATTAAATAAGAATTATTAGAGAGAAAGAGAGTGGTTGTGTGAGCGGTGTGGCTGTTTCAAATGTGGGTGAGTGAGGGGCATGTCGTTCTGCCCCCACTTGTGCCAGCCACTCGCTCCCAGGGAAGCGGGTCCTTGTGATGTGCAGGAAGGACAAGTATGATGTCCAGGTCTGTTCTGACCTATTTTTATCTGTATATGAAGATTTTTAAACATCTCAGTAGTACCAGAAATGAGAGCGTGTGTCTACAGGCAGGACACAGGCACCCCTCAGGAGAGCGGGGTCTGGTCTCGCTTCTCCCGTGAGCAGCTGCTGGCCTCTTCACAAGTCACTTCTTCGTTGTTTAGTTTTGTAGTGGTGGGGGGAAAGAATAGTAATTTCTTTCCTTTTTACCTCTAAGAACTGCCGTGAGTGAAAAGGAGAAAATATAGGAAATGTCTTCCAGATTTTTTTAAAGTAACATTGAAAAGCAACGTGATGTCATTAGACTTCAGTGTGAGACGTTTTTGGTAGTGCGGACACTGGCTAATGCACACTATGACTCTTTATTTGAAGTCATGGCGAGTTAAAAATTAAACAGAAATGTGTGACCGTTAAATATTTTTAGATAATAGAACATCTCCCTGTGTGTGTTGGAACCTGAGATAGCAGCCGAGGTCCTGTCCTTGTGCCCGATCTGGCCCTGGGGCGGAGTCAGACGCAGAAGTCCCTCACCTCTGTCCCTCACGCCAGCCTTGGAAATGCGTGTGTTCTGACCAGTTCCCCTCTCAGGAAGCATCGGAATCTAACTGAGAGAAACACATAATTTTGAACAAATTAATTACTGCATTTGATTTTTCTCTTTGTGAATTTGCACACGGAATGAAAATGATAGTGAGGAGAATTAAATTTACCAAGACTATAAAAGGGTGCATGATTCATGTACATAGGTCTCAATGTAAACCTAAATATAGCTTTTTAATGGCTGACATTTCAGTAATTTCTATGTTGGCACAAAGATAAGTTCCTAGAATATCTGGGACTTTTCTGTAAATATAAAAAAAAATCTAGAAAGCAGTGGCAAAATAATAAAATGAAAAAATGTGAAATAAAAACTTCATTCCTGTGTCAAAGCAAAAGAAATAAAAAGTCAGAGAATCGGCAGCATTTGACCTTTTGTCGAGATCACTGAAAGCCTTCAAATAATAGTGTATGTGTGTGTTTTAAGGGGTTTAAGGTAAAAGAAACCACCACCATGTGCTTCTAAGCCCTCATAGTGAGGGCTTCTGGGTAGTGTCTACAGACACTTCTTTGCCCAGCTGGTTAGGAAGTGTCTGTCGCCAATCTCTTTTTTGCTTTCTTTCTCTCTCTCTCTCTGTTTTCCTGGGAAAGGAGACTCCCGATTGCCAGAGTTCACTCTTTCACCTTCATTCTGGGTCTCGGCTCCTCCCAAATCTGCTCACTCAATATTAAGCTTTTTTGCATCTTAGCTGTCCTGTGGGTGAGTCCTAGCTTTGGGTGTTACTGACCAATCACTTCCTGTCAAGCCTGCCCACATCTGGTTTCTTTCCCGCTTCTGATTCCTTTCTTCCCTCCTGGTGGCTCATCTCCTTGCCCTGTTCCTCCATTCTTGCCAATTTCATCCTTTCCCAGTTTTGAAGGCCACTGGCTCCTCCTTAACTCACACACCCGCGTTTTCCACTGTGAACTTCTTCACCAGTCCTTCACATTCCAAAGTGCCTCTGGGCACCACCCATTGGCACACTCTGTACTCTGAGGTCAGCTTGTCTCTTGATCTTGTACTTCCAGGAGCAGGCTCAGGGACCTCAGCTGCCCTTGGCTCCTCCTTCCCCTGTACCATCCATGCCCACATCCTTGGCATTTGGCTACTCATGGTCTTGCAAGCCTTCTCTCTCTCCCTCCCTGCTCCCAGGCCCCTGGTTCCAGGCACTTCCCTCCCATCTGGACCATTGCAGCCCCTTCCGCCCTATCATAGCCCTTCTTTTACAATGTCCTGCATCTTGCATTCCTGTCAGTGTTGTTAGGGTACTGGTCTGACACTGTCTCAAAAAATGCTTTGGGGATTTTCACCTCTCAAAGCTGGTTTTCTTTATTTGGATTTTATACTTAAAGTAATGACTTTTGGGCCCACAAGTGTCCTCACCCTTTATCCACTGTGTACCCTGTTTTGCAGGAATATCTCACCTGCCTACAACTTTGGTATACATGGGAAAATCCTTCTATTTAGCTCTGCTTTTCCGATGTTTAAATGTATTCAACTCAAAGTGGTAACACAGCCATTTACACTTTCTGCATGTGAGTTTCTCAGATTCTTTTTTTGAGGAAAAGCATTCCCACACAAGGGGTTAGAAACAGCAGAGGAGAAGCATGCAGGTCTGGGCGGCCAGGGCCTGGTGCCGCGATGGCAGTAGTCACATCATGAGAGGTGTAAGGTGTGTTGTCACTTAGTTCCCGCAGCCGCAGTGTGGAGTAGCGCTGTCGTTCTGCAAACAGAAGACTGAGGCTTAGAGAGTTGACAGGATGCTCCCGGCGGCCAGCTGAGGAGTCCCACGCCCATCTGCTTGGTGGCAGAACCTGGGTGACACTCTGCGGTCTTGGTCTCTCCTCACCTTCTTTGTTCCATTGCTTGTTACAAATGGAAAGGGAGCTCTTTTCAGACAAATGCAATGCAACTTTGCATAAACAGTAAAGATTTCCATGTTGCCATCACAATTGGGGCCTTTTATCATAAATTTGAGTCTGTGGACAAATATCCAGAAGCTGTTGTCCAAAGTGGAAGATTTTTGTTCTGACCTACCTTAGAACACACTTCTACAGTTCCTACATACTTGCTACTGTTGCATTTAACACCCAGTGGGATTTTCGTGGCGTAAATGTGGGCAAGAGGCATTTCCAAGTGTGAGAACCTGTGTAATACTGAACTCAACCCTGACTCTCAGGACGTTGCTGAAAGGCAAGTTTCGACACAGAACCTTTAAATCTTTTTCTGACCATCTCCAGGTTTAGTCCAAGGGTGATTTGCCTGCACATTTGAAAAGCAGCTGTGAATCACCATTATCAGTATCACACTCACATGCTCACGCATACACTCACACACTCAAACACACATTTACATGCTCACACACACAGGAAAAGTTAATCAGCAGGAGACAGGTACATGAAGTATATTGTTCTGTCCCTGAGTCACTGTTAAAGGAATAAGAAGATAAATCCTCACACGATATATTGTCATGCGTCACTTTTAGTCAAGACACCTGTTAGAGCTTCCCTGTGAGGCGCCTTCCATGAGGCCCAGGGAAAGTGGACTTCACTGGTGAAACCAAGGGGGAAAGTGTTCTCTTTCCCTTGGTTGCACATGGAGGCCATGTTGGTGCAGTGAGTGGTCCAGCTGAGCCCCCAGCAGCATGGCTAATGCTGATTCCCTCAAGAAGCAGCTCTTCTCCTCACCATTGTCTTTTGTTGAGATCACAGCTGGTGGTTAAATTTTGTTCACCTCCATGTTTTCACCCAGGGACCTCGTTTTCCACCACTGTGTGGAGGGCATGATCATGGCATTTTAGGAAGCTGGGGCAGCTGGGCAGACCAGGTGGGGCCCAGATCACAGGTACCTTGTTTCTTCCTTTCTCAGTGAAAACAGTGATTGAGTTGATAGGAAATTGGGGTGGGGCATTCTTAGTGTACAGAAATGTTGGTTCCTTTGAACGTGTTACTCATCATATATCACCAGTTAGTGGACCACAAACAGATTGCTTTTTACACATTAAAACCAGATTCCCTACTTTTCTTCTCTATTTGGGGACTGAAAAATAATTAACATGGCTTAAAAGTGGGTGTTACACCATGACCCCTGTGGATTTTAACTCATACAGTTAGAATTAAAGGGCAGTTCCTTCTAGTGGGTGTTAGAACTGGATCCATTTTATCTAGTTGTCAGCTGTTCTTTCATTCATTCATTCATTTTTTGAACGATTTCTCCAGCATTTGCTGAGCAGACAGTGTGGGCTGGTATAGGTTACTTTAGCATCTGAGGAGACGACAGGAAGCTGGACTGAGTTGGACGCCTGCCCGAGCAGGTGATTAGGAAGAGTCGAGGAAGCAGGCATTTCCGAGGCCAGGTTCAGCAGGGAACTAGCCTGGACCTTGAAATGGTCCCAGCCAGAAACAGCTGTGCAAATGGGGTAGATTACCGGCAAGAGGAAGAGACCAAAACCTTGTGTGGGGTAGAGATGGGGTGGGGGCCCAGGTCCGAGGTGGGGCCTCTGTACTGATTTTGCCAAAGCAGTGCAGATGCTGCCATGAAGGGCGGCAGGAAGAACTGCACTTCCTTTCTCTTGTGCCCATTTTGAATCCCTGAGTCATGGGGGACCTATGTCAGGTGCTGATAGCAAAAGCCAAGCAGAGATAGATGAAGCTGAACTCACACCACTGAGGGCAGATGTGAAGGTGTCACAGACAGCTCGCAGGGAGCGTTCACAGTGGAGGTGACACTTGACAGGTGGCTAGAAGGGTGGTTGCCATTTTTCTCTTGATTTGAAAGGACTGGGGAATTTATCTAAGAAACAGTGGCGGGTCTTGCTCAAAAAATAAAACCCTGCTCTGATGAAGGTTCTGTTTTTGTTTTAATTTAGAATTCATTGAGAAAGCTGTCAGTTTGAACAATAGAGAAATTTTATTTTTGGTCCTAACTGTCCTAGCTTAGTGGGTTGGGCATCATTCCACAAAGCAAAAGGTCGCTGGTTCAATTCCCAGTCAGAGCACATGCCTGGGTTGCGGGCCAGGTCCCCAGTTGGGGGCATGTAAGAGGCAACTGGTCAATGTTTCTCTCCCTGTCTTTCTCCCTCCTGTCCCCTCTCTCTAAAAATAAATAAACATGTAAGAAAAAATTTAAAAAATAGCATCTACAGGAAAACAGCCAAAAAGGCATGGAGTATATGTTACACCTCCCTACATCAGAAAGCAGCTAGAAAGGCAACCTGGGAGACCTCGTGCTGACCCAGGAAGTCTCTGCACATCCTCTGAGTTCCCTTTGAGGGTTAATCTTCAAAATGCTCCTGATGCATGTAGACTCCACTGGCCTGGTCCGGTCCTGGATCTGGCAAGCACCTTTGAACCTTCACCCTCAATCTGATTCCACTTTTTCTTACCCATCAACAAATGTTTTCTGAGCATCTGTTATGTCCAAGGTTTTCAAAAATAGTCCCCCAAAGATAGATAACCTAGTTAAACACTTGCAATCCTGATCTTTACCAAAGTAAAACAGGTTACAGTACTTCACTGCAGCGTCAGCATGTCCTCTGGCTTCCTAACAGGAGCAGCTGCTGGGCTGACGGATCCCACAGTGACAGCACAAACGAGGAGTTCGAAAGGGAGTGGGAGGGGAGGTGTCATCTACATAAATTTGGAAAGTACTTAGAAGTCACCCAGCTGTCACTGTTTCTACTTTTTAATCACGAGATGTGTTGGAATCATTTTTTCCAACTTCAAAATGGAAACACGGCAGTATTCCTGCCGCCCAACACAGACGGATTGGCTGTCTGTCACCAATGATGAGGCTGTGGCGTCACCCAAACCAGAGAATCTGGATAAAATTGCAATGCAGTGTACCCACGCTATAGCTGCTTTTATTTTAGATTCTAATTTGAAAGTCTGCTCAGTTCCCATCAGCATCTATTGTATTTTCATCTGAAATATGAGGCCCCAGTGAGTGTGCTACTTGGCGATGTAGAATTAGATCATTCTGCCTCATGAAGTAAGGTTGATTTGGCAAAAGCACTGGTAGAGATGAATGAGAGGATGACTAGTCTCTGAATCATTGAAGGGGTGATTTGAATGGTCCTCTTCTCTCACTCTCGTATTTATCCTCAGGGATCCACCTACTTGTTAAAATTATTTATAACCCCAATCAGTACGCTCAGCCTTCTCGTGGTCACGTATGCACATTTGCAGAGCAGCCATAATTTGAGGTCCTGACACTCTTGTTCCCAGCTAAGGGCAATGTTCTTCCTTATTGTTCCAGCTCTCAGACTGTGAAGAGTGTCCTTTACAGGAGCAGTTTGGTGCCCTGTTTCTCCCCTTGTGCTTTTTGTTGGTAGTTTCACTGATTTTACAGCCCCTACCTCCATGTGTGGTGCTGAAGAGGGAGTACTGAAAGCAGTCCAGTACTTTCCAGTACTGGCTCCCCTTTTTACAGCACAAAGAAATTGCTTCTGTTGCATGGAACTGTGGAATCTCAACAAGTTTGCATCTGATGAGGATTAAGTAATCAAAATTAATAGCATAATACCCACTATAAGGACTCAGTATATAGAAAGTGCCATTGTAGTCTCATTTGATATGCTCTCCTGACTGCCTTATTTAGTAAATATTGGGGGAACGCTGTGTAAAGTGTATGATTGTCAAACTACTATGCTGTACCCCTGAAATTAATACAAAATAATATTGAATGTAAGCTTCAAGTTTAAAATAAAATTAAATAAATACAGGGACTGTGCTTTCCCCACTTAACCTTTTAAGTGCCTGGCATCACCACATGGTGCCCGGTGCCATCATCACAAGGCCTGCTGCACAGCTCACTGCGTCACCATCCGTGCACATGAGTGTGTGCACAGGTGCTTTCTGAGTGAATGTCTGGTGTGCTGCTGAAACAAATGAAATAGCTAATACGTTTTGAGTGGTCAGCCTCTATCAAAAAATGTCCTCAGAACATGGGTTATTGACTCACGTAATCTCCCCTACAAAGAAGTCGCGATTAGCGTTCCCATTTGATGGGTGAGGAGACTGAGGCACAGAGAGGTTAAGATGTGCTTCCCAAGATCTCAAGGAATTTGTGAGCTAGGATTCAAACTGCAGGCTGCCTTCAAAGCTTGAGTTCTTAACTGCCACTACTATGATAGACAAGAAAATTGCTCTTTATGAACAAACATGTAACTTCGAATATCTCTTTTTCTACTGGCTGCTTAAAGACGTTATTCTAGTTAAAATGCTAAAGTGATTCATTCATTGATGTGGCTCCTGCTATGACATTATGTCTGAAGTTTTACCTAATTCTGTTTCATTTTGAGCAGTGTGAATTATCTGTAAGATCATCTTTATGCTGAGATTTTTGTAGTAGACTTTGATTCAGAATTGTGGTCTCTTCACAGGATGTGGCCTTTATGGAAACCCTGTTTCTTACTCAGCCTTCAGAGTAACTCCATCAGGATAATTCGAGAACTTGTCATTTGCTTCTTTACAGAAAATCACTCTGCACCTCCTGACGTAACCACGTACACCTCAGAACACTCGATACAAGTGGAAAGGCCACAAGGGTCGACGACGTCGCGGACAGCACCAAAGTACGGCAATGCCGAGCTCATGGAGACCGGCGATGGTGCGTCTCCCGCGTTTTCTTCCTTCCTCTGTAAACTCTCGATTCCACCAGCTTCCCTTTTAGATGAAGATTGGATGTGTTTCTTCTAGATAAACAGTCAGCTTGCAGCTTACAAGCCTCCCATAGAAGGTGGCATAGTCACAAGAAATGCAAGTTATCTCCAAGTTTGCCAAGAGTTACTCCTTGTAGGAAAAAAATAATGATGTTGTAAAAAGTTCATCATGAGAAAAAAGGAAATTTTTAAAGATTCTGATGTATTTGCTAATGAATAAGTAAAGTTGGTTCAGTAATTAACAAATGAGTGTGTAAGCATGTGTAAACAGGTCACATGAGTGTGTAAACAGTTACTTAGAAGGGCAGAATGAAGGTACATGTAAACAAATTAATTGACAGATATGGGCCAATGTGCCGCTCTAGAATTTAGAAGATACAGGGTCTTGTTCTCCATATTAGAAAAAAGTATTAGTGATTTGATAAAATATAGTAGTAGGGGTGTTTTTTTTATTCCTCATATCATTAATCTGTGTATTCTGATTATGGTGGCCATTTCCATTACCCAGTCTGAAGTAGCAGTCCTGAACATGAACTTCATGTATTATTTTGCTTTCCTTCCTGGGTCATGAAGGTTATAATAACCCAATGGTGACATGAAATGCTGTTTTTGTGGAAGATGGCCAAAGTAGGGCTTGTATGCCCTCTGACCACCTGTCACCCTGTGCCTGCTATGGTGTGATTCAGAGGTGACAGGGAAGGCCTGCCCCCCAGTCTCTAATAGGTAGCACGTCTCTCTGTAATGGGCAGAGCCCAAGTTAGTGCAGTTCATGGGTTCCTGTTAGTGTGTTTGAAGTCACCCCAGTGTCCCATATGATTGGCTTTCCTGGAACACTTTCCATTTCAATGTTTGCTTTAGTTCTGTGCTAAATTTATTATTTTTTAAATTGATCATTAACTGTTATTCCAGTCATTACCATTTTAGTAACTTTGTCGTTTTTGAAGCCCATCATCTTTACCTGCTCTCCCACATGAGTTCATTTGTTGTCCACATGATTCCATGTGAGTCACCTGTTGTCCAGTTCAGAGTTTTTCAGCATCATGATCTCTTGTCTCGGAATCACTTGGGGCACTGGTAGAAGGCAGATTCTGGGCCACACACCAAACCTAACACATGAGAAACTCTGGACCAGGCAGGTCCTAGAATGATTCTCACCCATTCTGAACTGAGTTGGAAAACCAGTGATGTTGTAAAATGATCCCAGGTTCATCTAAACCAAAGTAAGTGAGACTATTTAATGAGGAAATAATGTGTGTAGAGACTGAGAATTCTGGCTTATGTATTTTTATATATTTTCAGAACTTTCATAAATTATTCGATGTCTCAATTCTGAGGGTTCACATTAAGTATTTTGAGATTACCTATGAAAATGTGTCTGACTTGATAGGAAAATTTCTTGAATTCCGCCATGTTCACATCCCCAAAGCTGAGGTTTTCTGTGATACCTGCAGAAGAAGGGCTCCTCCTCAGTCGTTACAGGGGAGACCCCCTCAGCTGTGGCTCTTAGACTATGAGAGTCACGAAGTTTTCCACACCCATGCTCACCGGGTATGGGTTTCCAGGCACCTTCCAGCAGAATGAGATCTGCCTGCAGTGAGTGCATTTGAACAGTTAAGCATCTTGGTACTCCTCTTATTCATTAATTTGGGTTATTTACTTAAAAATTTTAAAACTTCTTGCCTTTTTCAATGATCATGTCACTTGATTTTCAAAATGATGTCACATTCATTGTTGTAAGAAGTGTATTATTGTAACATGGGGTTAATGTTTCTCAGGGCACATGGATAAATATATGCTAGTATTCTGTCATGCAGAAATTGAATTTAGAGACCAATTGCCGTGGTTCTAGAATGTATTGCCTGAATGCTCCTGAGACACTTGGAAGGGACACTTGCGTGGATAAGGGCTGCCAAGGTGCTTGCTTTTATCAGGAGGTGTGAGTGCTGGGGGTGGCCATGCAGGCACTGCAGGGCACCCAAATTGTATGTTTTCATCAGAATGTTCTCTTAGCCCAATGATGCTAAGAGCTCAGGAAGGGTCTCTGTGCTTAATCAGCTCTGTGGTCTCCTTTGAAAAAAGGGACCAGAGACAGACAAGAGGAATGAGAAGGTGGCAAGCCCACTTTTAGGAATTAGAGGTAGGTCCAAGCCCGATCCATGGCCGGAGCTCTCCCTAATGCCCCAGATCAGGGCGGCTTGTGAAGCTGTGAAAGAGAATTGTTTCTGCTGAGTCTCTACCCTCTCACGGCTTCGCAGCAGGGTCAGGGCACTGTGACTGTGCATCCGGTAGAATGCCTTTACTCGGCACATTGTCCTAGGTGGCACTTTGAAGGACGCTCAGTCAGTCTCAGTGCCATCCCTGCTTCTCTCAGCCCTGAGATGGGGCAGTGGGCACAAGTGTCTCAGCCCTGTGGTGCCTGTTCAGGTGGGGTAGACTGAAGTCAGTCCATCTGTCCCACGGTTCTGTTTTTCAGGAGTGCCAGTAAGTAGCCGGGTATCCGCAAAAATTCAACAGCTTGTCAATACCCTCAAACGACCGAAACGGCCGCCATTACGGGAATTCTTCGTCGATGACTTTGAAGAATTACTAGAAGGTGAGAGATCCCTTTTCCACCCCCATTTATTTCAGTGCCCCTGTGCTCCCAGAAACTATAATGGTATTTTTTTTCTACCAAGGCTATTTTACTTTTTAAGAACAGTAATCTTGGCATTCACTAGAAGATGGGAATCTTATCTAGAGACCATAGGTACTATTTCTGCAAGTCATGTAAAAGTGAGTACTGTCCCACAAGGCAGGCCTCTTCCTAAGGACCCTGTCAGGTTCCAGAAATGCGAGTAAATCATAGAAAACCTTGCCAACAGTGACACAGTTCCCTCGGAATAAGCTTAGGAGGAATGCGGTGAGCATGTAGCCGGACCCATCCCTCTCCACCCTGTACAAACCCAAGAGTGGGTTTCTTAACCCCCTCAGGCTCATGAGCTTATTTATAATTAATATTAGAAGGGAAAGGAGGGATAGAGAGATGCAGAGAAACATCAGTGTGAGAGCGAGACATTGATCAGTTGCCTCTCATACGCACCCCGAGAAGGGTGGAGACTGCAACCTTGGCCTTTGTCCAGACCAGGAATCCAACTCACGATCTCTGTTTTAACCAACTGAGCCACACACGAACCACTTAAAATCAAAACAAAAAAATTATTATCTCAAACACACAAACTCTGTGTGTTCTCATTCTTTATATCACAAATAGGATGTAGCTGGTTTTCTGCTCAGCAGGTGCAAATTGTCAGTCAGTCATAAACCATGAGAGAGAAACTTCTTCCAGAAATGGGGAAAAAAATACCAACTTCTCACCTATCTAAGCAGTGGGGCAAATTGCATTTTATCATGAGGCACTTATTATTGTTTTACTCAAGAAAATGTGATCTGTGCTCATCATTTGTAGTAATCGTAGCAAATTTGAATTTATGCCTCAGTATTTAAGGGCAAAATAAATGTCGGGGTAAAAGATTTGAGCTGTTTGGGGTCCAGAATTACTACTCTGTGTTGATCAGTGATATTTGTAACATAGTGTTGTAATCCTAGATCCCGGCACGTTCGCATCCATGGCTTTACTTGTCAGTTCATAGATGCACTCGGGTCTCCTTGAGCGCCTCACCCGACATTGCCTGGGAAGTTGTAAGAATTCTGTGCCCCCATTACATCCACGAGGATAGTGTCTGGGCCATAGTCCTGATTCTAGAAAAGCATGTGTGTGTATTTTCTGTGCACTAATAAATTTATACTTTAAGTATAAGTCTCCTCTCTTCCTTTAAAGGAATAAAAATGTGATCATAGTAATATGAATGAATTTTTTCTCAAACTTCTTGTATCCACGTGTGTTTAGTTCAACAACCAGATCCAAACCAGCCAAAGCCAGAGGGAGCACAGATGCTAGCCATGCGAGGGGAGCAGCTGGGTGTGGTTACGAATTGGCCCCCGTCTTTGGAAGCCGCATTACAGCGATGGGGGACCATCTCACCAAAGGCCCCGTGCTTGACCACGATGGACACAAACGGGAAACCTCTGTACATCCTCACTTACGGTAATCATGGAAGGCTTGTCTGCCTTCTGTTTGCTTACGCACATACCTTGCGACTTTCAGGGCGGCTAATTCATGTTTGTGCTCCTTTTATGTTTCCAGTCCCCAAATAAATGGAATCTGAAAGGAAATATTTTAGGGAAGTTATTTTCATTTGTGAATATGAGAAATCATTTGTTAAATGTTTTTTGAGTAAAATCCAGAAATGGACCCAAAAATTTAATGATCATCACTCTAACAAGATATTGGAATATATGTGATATTCTTGAAAATTTTGGTTTTAAGGAAGGGTTAGTAATTAGAGAATATGTATCTAAACTCTTTGACATATATAATTTAGAAAAAAACAAAATGTGTTCACAGAGTGCTTTTTCAGAAATTAAGAAACAAGTTTTTCCTTAATTTTTCATTCAATACATTTAATGTAGTTTGTAATTTTTTCAAAGTAGTTAACTGTAGCAGAGGGATCCCTTTCTTTGTCCCATGGATAAGGGACCATGAAAAAACAGACTGTCAGGTTTTTGCACATTATCTGGTATAGCTTTGCAAAGAAACCAGCTTAATAACTAAAAGGCCCAAATGGCTCATGTTATACCTGCATGCATGAGGTTAGAATACCTTTTTTTAAACTTTGAATTTTGTTATTGGACAGCAACACTTCTAACTGTAAGTAGTTGATCTCTGCATTGGCAGTCAATGTCAAGAATCAGATGTTATGTTACATAATGTAGAGCCCAGTTTTCTGGGGAAGGGGGGTGGTGAGGCCCCATGAAGCATCAGCCATGGAGGTGCAGAAGTCACCCTCCTGTGCATCCCGTGGCCAGAAATGGGATGGGGTTCAGAACAGATGTTTCATAGCCTTGTTTTTGTGACATTGTCGGGTATCTCTAAGTGGATAAGTTGTATTCCACCCATGATGAGACATAAACTTGATTTTTTAAAAAATCCTGCTCTTGGAAATTGGTTTCATCCTGTCAGAAAGGTAGAATACTCTCCTGTGTGAGCCTCACCTCTTGCCACAGTCAGCCATGGAGCGGACTGTGTGCTTGGAACTGCTTGCTGCTCCTCAGCTGGTTCTTCAGGGTTCTTTGTGCACATGTGCACAGTACTCATCTGTTAGCCACAGTCCCTGCTAGTGTGTTTGAAGCACGGGCACAGTGTTAAGGCTTGGGGAACAAAGCTGAGTGAAATCCAGTACTCAGGGCTCATGATCCACATTGGAAGTATGGCCCTGCTTCTTCTACTGATGGAATGGAGAACAGACTAGTGCTGACTCTCCTAAGATGAATTTGAACTGTCAGATAAAGACCAATGATATCTGTGAAAATGTGGAATGTGTATGTCTACACCAAGGCACTTAGTTCCTGCTTTCAGTCATCTACATTTGGTTGTGTCATAGTTACCTACATTAGACGTCTTATGAGTCGATCTTTGTTTTTACTTTGGTAAAGGAATATAAGAAAGCAATGGCCTTCCAAATGTAAGATTATAATTTATAAGGATGTAAAATGAAAGTATTGATTACTATGATGAAAACTGGAAAACAGTGCTATGTAGAAACACTAAATAGATGAACACTTAATGACTGGATGTTGCTGAAAAGATGCAGAGAGAAGTTCATTGAGTAGAATTGTTCTAATACTAAGTAATTTGGTACAACCAAAGGGGTAGACCATTTACAGTCTGTGGTTTACATTCAGCTCTATACTGTAGCTCCCTCAAACCCCTCGGGTAGCAGAATTCCCAGTGAGAAACAGGATCTTCAATAGAAAATATAGATGGTGAATGAAGGTTATAAGCAAACTTGTTTTAAAATCTTATGCTTTCATTTTACCAATATAAATTAAAAAGCATATGAAGAAAACACATCGCATTTCATGTTAAATTAATAAAAGTAAATCATGCTGAGCTTGATCAACTTCCTTTTATCATGCTCCACTTCCAAAACTTAGTCTTTCTTCTCTGCCTTCTCCTTAGTATTAATGAGAGATCTGCTCACTGTGTTTGCTTTGGTGCAATGTCTGTCTCTCTTTTGATTTACGACTTGATTTTTCCCCAGAATATTTTAAGGGATTTAGATACTTAAACTAGAAAAGCACTGGGCAACCTTTCTGCATCTTTTTTATTTTTTACTTTTGCAATGTTGGTGATGTGCTTCGCAAGCCCCCACCACAGTCTCCAGGTTAAATAGCCACTATATTCCATGTGACTTTTTTTTAAATATATTTTTTAATTTTTATTTTATTGATTCTACCATTACAGTTGTTCTATTCCCCCCCCTTCATTCCCTTCCACCCTGCACTCCCCCACCCCCACCCCCACCCCCTCCATGACCATGTATCTCAACTTCTTTAGATTCTATATTTCCCATACTATTCTTACCCTCCCCCTATCTATTTTCTATATACTGTCTATGCTACTTATTTTCTGTACCTTCCCCCCCTTCTCCTCCTCCCAATCCCCTGTTGCTAACCCTCCATGTGATCTCCATTTCTATGGTTCTGCTCCTGATCTAGCTGTCCTCTTAGTTTGCTTTTGTCTTAGGTGTGGTTGTTAATAACTGTGAGTTTGCTGTCCTTTCACTGTTCATATTTTTTATCTTCTTTTTCTCAGATAAGTCTCTTTAACATTTCATATAATAAGGGCTTGGTGATGATGAACTTCTTGAATTTGATCTTATCTGAGAAGCGCTTTATCTGTCCTTCCATTCTAAATGAAAGTTTTGCTGGATAGAGTAATCTTGGTTGTAGGTCTTTGGATTTCATGACTTGGAATACCTCTTTCCATCCCCTTCTTGCCTGGAAGGCCTCTTTTGAGAAATCAGCATACAGCATAACAACCCAGCGACCTGGGTGGCCCTGCCCTGGTGAATATCTAAGGCTCTGCTCCTTATACTTAATGGGTATGAACATACCAAAAATGGCTCAGGAAGATCTCAAATCCCCAGAGCCCATAACTCTAAGCAAAGAAGAAATAGCAAAACTTTAAGATGCACAGTTCAAAACACTGGTGATCAGTATGCTTACAGAACTGGTTGATTTTAGTCACAAATTAGAGGAACATATGAAGGCTAAACTAATCCATGTGACTTCTGATTGCCCTTCCTCACCCGTCTACCTCCTTCTCAAAGTCAGACTCTCTGCACAGTGCTTACTCCTCTCTCAAATAAAGGAAAGTTAAAATTTATGTGTAATAAGATAGGGTTTACATCATTTCTACATCTCCCCCGCCCCCATAGGTACATTGCTGTCTCAGAGTTTCAATGTCTGTTTTCCCAGTCAAAATATCTGTTTACCCTACCTTAAATCTGGCAGAATTTCATCTTTAATTCCCAACTTTTAAATATACAATCAGTATTATTAACTATAGTTGCCCAGCTATATATTACATCCCTGTGACTTACTTAGTTGACAATTGAAAATTTGTGCCTTTTGACACTCTCCACACCCCCATCTCTAGCAACCACCAATTGGTTCTGTCTATAAACTTAATGTTTTTTTTAAATTCTACATGTGAGTGAAATCATATGCTATTTGCATCCCTCTTTGACTTGTTTCTTTTAGCATAATACCCTCTAGGTCCATCCATGTTGTTGCAGATGGCAAGATTTCATTCCTTTTTATGATGGAGTAATATTCCATTGCTTATATATGCCACATTCTCTCTATCCATTCATTCATCAGTGGACATTTAGATTGTTTCCATACCTTCACTATTGTAAATAATGCCACAATGAATAGGGGGGGTACATATGTCTCTCTGAGTTAGTATTTTTGTTTTCTTTGGATAAATACCCAGAATGGAATTGCTAGATCATATGATAATTTTATTTTAAATTAACTTCCATACTGTTTCCCATAGTGACTGCACCAAATATTGGCTTAGCCAAAGAGTTCACATTTTTTTTCCATAAAATAGAAGACACGTTTTTCATTTGCACCAATAGCTTTATTGATTTGAATACTTTGAATCTGTTGGCTATCTCCTGCATGGTATAAATTTATTTTAATTGTTGTTCAAGTACAGTTTTCTGTCATTTACTTCCATCCCATCCCAGCCCAACCCACCCCCAGCCCTCTCCACCTTTACTCTCCTCCCATTTCCACTGCCACCCCCTAGTTTTTGTCCACGTGTTTTTTATACTTGTTACTGTAAATCCTTCCCCTTTTCCCCTGAAACTCCCTCCCCTCTCCTCTGGTCACTGTCAGCCTGTTCGCTATTTCAGTGTCTTTGGTTATATTTTTGCTTGTTTGTTTGTTTGTTTTGTTTAGGTTCCTGTTAAAGGTAACATCAAATGGTATTTGTCTTTCACTGCCTGGCTTATTTCACTCAGCATAATGCTTTCCAGTTCCATCCATGCTGTTGCAAAGGGTAGGAGCTCCTTCTTTCTTTCTGCTGCATAGAATTCCATTTTGTAGATGTACCATGGTTTTTGGATCCATTCATTTACTGATGGGTACCTAGGTTGCTTCCAACTCTTGGCTATTGTAAATTGTGCTGCTATGAACATCGGGGTGCATAGGTTCTTTTGGATTGGTGTTTTAGGTTCTTAGGATATAATCCTAGTAGTGGAATTGATGGGTTAAAAGGCAGATCCACTTTTAGTTTTCTGAGAAAATTCCATACTGTTTTCCATAGTGGTTGTACCAGTCTGCAATCCCACCAACAAGGACTAAGGTTCCCTTTTCTCCAAAACCTCTCCAACACTTGTTTGTTTGCTTTGTTTATGATGGCCATTCTGACTGGTGTAAAGTAGTATCTCATTGTGGTTTTAATTTGCATCTCTCTAATAGCTAGCAATATTGAGCATCTTTTCGTGTGTCTCTGGATCTTCTGTATGTCCTCCTTTGGAGAAGTGTCTGTTCAAGTCCTGTGCCCATTTTTTAATTGGGTTGCTTGTCTTCTTTGAGTGGAGTTGTGTAAGTTTTTTGTATATTTTGGAGAATAAACCCTTGTCTGAGGTATCATTGACAAATATGTTTTCCCATATGGTTGGTTCTCTT